AAGCTGTCAACAAGTTATAGAAAGAAGAACTTGGAGTCTGATTTTTTCCCTTGGTCTTGCTTCAGTGGAAATGCCAAGACATAAGGAACTGATGTAAATTGAGGAAAAGGGCAGGGCAAGAGAGGGGCCAAGTAAATGACATTTGTCTTGAACATTGTAGAGTTGGCTCTGTAGCCTGTGGGCATATTTGTGATATTTTACACATTTTCTGATAAAAAAATTAGAAAGTGGTTATGGATTTCAGCTAATTCATACATCTGGAAAACTGTAGAGTTCTATTTTATGTATTTACTATAGAGTAGTGAGAAGCAACAGATCTTCTGTTTCTGGCAAGTTTTTGATTCTAATCTTTTCCATTTACCAGACGCAAGGATTTGGGGAAATTATATTATTGCCTTGAGACTCAATATTCTCATCTGGAAAATGGGATTGATAAGGTAGTCTTTTGCGGCTACTGTGAGAATTGAATGAGTTAATGTGTGTGATAAAACCTGATGACAGCAATGTGCCCCAAATATTTTATGGGGGAGGAGATAGGCCATGACATATGTACAGTTTAATCACATGTTTAGATCGATCCTTAAAATAATAATAATGTTAACATCAACTAACATAACATTTCTTTGCTTTCTCTGCTAGGCTCTGATCCAAGAGCTTCACATGTATCTCATTTACTTCCCATAATTCTCTCACAAAGGCTCTGAGATAGGCACCTCCTATGGCCCCAGCTGCCTTCGAGTGCAGGGGTGTCAAATTCATTTCCACCAGAGACCTCATCAGTCTTGCGGTTGCCTTCAAAGGGCCAAATGTAATTTTAGGACTGTATAAATGTAACTACTCCTTAACTAGGGGCAAGGAGCTCAGTGCTGCTGCCGGGCAGAAACAAGGTGGAGGGCTAGATTTGGCCCAGTTGAGGACCTTGTGTTTGCCACCTGTGTTTTAAATAGTCCTACTCACATATCCATCCCACTTCGTAAAGACCTTCAAACCTGTAAATACTGTTTCCAATCAGACCATCTGTTACTGTCTTAAAACTTAAGGCAGTCTTTTGGAAGAGAAGGAAGAATAGTAGTGAATGAAGAAGAGCTCTCCAAAGCTTAGATTCCTGAGATTTTAGTGAAATTTTTGCAGTAAAGCAGCAATTTTCAAATCAGCAGTGTGTCACACCTTAGATTGTCAAAAGAAAATGACAACAGCCAAAACAATAGCTGTCTGGTGTAAATGAATCAAATTATACCTATTTCTTGTCAGATTGGCAAAAACATATGTTTCGGTGTGCTGCAGAATTTCAGTAATGAATTTGCATGTGCCACAGGATGAAAAAGGTTGAAAATTGCTGCAGTAAAGGAGTAGTAAGTGTAGGAAAGGGTTTTTGTGGTGATATGCTGTGCTTCAGAATTCCCTCTCTCAGCAGAGGCACCTTTCCTTCCTGCCTTCCGCACATGAGGCCTGCTCCATGCTGCCGGAGTGCCACGGTCAGCAAAGTGTCTGCCCCTGGCACTTGGGACAGTGACACTAAGGAATTACAACAACTAAAAGGGGCGATAAAAAAAAAACCTGTACCTAATTGACTTTGTACTAACATCCTTTATATTCCTCTATCAGAATTACTGCTTATTCACATCTATATGCATGTGTGTCTACTGATACAGAATCAGAAGATGGGAATAAAAAATGGAAGTAGTAAGCATACATCTTTATATGTTCTTCCCCAAATGAAAAACAAAAGAGAAAGATGGGCTTCAGTTTTTAGAATAAGGGGTGTGGTTTTTATACGGCTTTGTATTTTTAATGCCTACTGGGAAAATGCATTCAACTATGTTAGGAATTAGTCCTTCTAATTGTATAAAAGCATGGAAAATTGTCACATGTTAATTTCTGCTGAACTCTTTTGTGTTAAACCATGTAAAGTACTTTTTCAATTATGAAGCTGATTTTATTTACTTAGAGTTTAGATTAGTAATATATGAGCTAAGTTGAAAACCAGATTATAAATGATTTTAGCATGACATTTAGGTGAAATATAAACATAATCTGAGTTTATTTATGATGTCTGTCAGGGAGATTCATGAGAATTAGCTTTCTCATGACAGTTTTAATAATCATCATTTCTGGCCAATTTAGAAAGACTGGATTTCCACATGAAGAAAATTTTGTTAACATTTGATATCCTATTTCAATATCTAGCTGAAACCAAGGAGGACAAAAAGGTATGATTATTATTTTTCAAAGGAAGTAGATTCTTTTCCAGTGCGCTATAATATAGGAAAAGGCATAACTATTTACACTGGAGAACAATTGCCCACGAGCCCAACTGCGCAATACAACTGCCCAGGGAGCGTTTCAGACAATCCTGATGTCTGGGTTCAACCCAGACGAATCAAATCTGAGCCTCTGGGAACGGGAACCAGCTGTCACCATTTGTCAGAACTCTCCCCAGGTGATGCTGATGTCCAGTCAAGGCCGAAACCCCACGATAAAGGAGTGGACTTCAGAGCAAGTTTAAGGAAAAGCTCTGGAGAAGGTCTTATTTCTCTGCCAAGATTCTGCAGGAACTACAAAGAAAAAAGTTTAAAAAAAAAGTTCCTGGAAATTAAGAAAAGACTCAGAGCAGTAGTGGGGACTTTGAACTGATCCTGTCTTGTGACCAATGCTGAAAGTGTTAGCGTGGCTGGCTGAAGGTGTGTCAGGAAGAAAGGGAGAAACCTGTGTGGGTGTGAGTCTGCGCGTTCACTTACTGGAATCAGTTTCATTATGTGGAAGGATAATTGTTTATGACTGTTGTTTTGTGAATTTCCTTTTTCCTGTGTACTTACCCCCATTTCAAATTAAGATACAAAATACAAATAGAAGGTACTTAGTCAAACCAAACCCCAGTCGAAGTTTTGTATTGTTTTTTATTTATTGACCTTCCATTTTCAGCATACATTGCCTGGCAACATGTTGGGCTAATAACGAACAAGACATAGGACTGGTCAGAATGAATTAGGCCCTTATTTACTAAGCCTTGGAAGTAAGCAGGATAGTTGTGAATAAATAATGTATAGGGTTCACCAGAGAAACAGAACCAGTGGGATGGGTAGATAGATTTATCCATCTGTCTATCTGTGAGGAGATTTGCGATTGATTCCCTCCATTATGGAGGCTGAGAAAGTCTTGTGATCTGCCACCTGCCGGCCGAGGAAGCAGGAAAGCTGGTGTAATTCTGGCAGAAGGCCTAGGAAGTGCTGGGGTGGGGCAGTGTGGGGAGGGCAGAGGACCCTTGGTATAAGTCCCTAAGATCTGAGAGACACTCAGACATGGAGGGCATGTTTGAGGGAAGTGCCATTGCTTTGGACATGTTTGAACCTCGGCATGAGATTCCGAGCAGTGGTGACATTGGGATGTCACCTGGTGGAGCTAAAAGGAAATCGAGGATACAGTGTGGAATCATCTGTTTCTCCAGAAAACAGTTTAATGACAAGTGTCTCTTATCTTCACTTTAAATTTTACAAAGACTCAGCCAAGAAACAGACAAGAACAATTCACTACTTTTCCACATAAAAAACTTTTTGGCCATTTTTCTGAAGTAATTTATATGGTTCTAAACTATGTTTACTATTTTTACATTTTTGCATGGCATCTCTAAAAATTTCTAAGATGGCATCTTAGTAAATTTGTTTCTAAATACTGAATATAATTTTGATGAAAGGAAGTGTCCATTATGTTACATGACATTTTCATAGTGATACGTTATTTGTGACCTCCTTCCTCTCCTGTCCTTGATTTTTCTCCCACTTCATTGCCCGAGTGACTGTAAATTCAGAAGACTTTGGTATGTTCATAGAAGAGATGCATAGAGATGTTTGCCCAGGAAGCTGTGTCTAGGGGTCAAGGCTACAGAAGGAGACAGTGACTGATTTAGAGACTGGTTCTTAGAAGCGTATGTGGAACCTTGGTATCAGTGACCAGTGTTCCAAGTGAAGGCAGCAAACCCAAGTTCCACATTCTTCCAAACAAATTAGTGCAAATGTACTTCCCCACCTTTGGAATTAGGCTCAGGTGGAATAGGACTGTGACGTGGCAGCAGAAGAGGGTAAAATACAAATAGCAAAAGGAATCTTAAGATACAATCTCTTATTCTCCCCTAAAATCACTTTATTGAAATCATGTTAATACAAGGGTCCTAGCTACAAAACAAAGAAGTCACTCTAACAGAAGAAAAAAGTTGTCACTGTGTAGATTACTTTCTCTTGTACAGTTTAGGAGCACTGTAATGCCCATGAGTAATATTTTATTACTGTTGGGATTTCTGGCTATTCACACATTTGCCAAAGTGTCTTTTGAAGTTTTTTATTTACTATTGAAGTGATCTGTTTTTTCAAGTCATCTTTTTCTTTGTTGAGCACAGTCAAATCAACTAACATAAACTGTAGGGAAGTTTGTTTTTAATGCTAGTAATTATTACCATGCTAATTATACACTGCCGATTTCCACATGCTTAGTCATCACCTTCTGCTTCAACAAACTTCGATTTCAGTGTCAAAGACCATACTCTCTTTTATTGTCTTGTATTCTTAATGTCTCAATACAAGAAACATCTTAAAAAGTGCTCTGATAATGTAGCCAACAATGCTACATAAATGGTCAAAGCAAAGGTGTGAAATGTTTGTGAAGCATTATTCACTGCCATTGTATTTGCACAGCCTGTGTTGGTGTAAACTGGTCTTCTCCCCTCCCTGTTGGTTAGTTATCTCCTATTTCAAGACCACCTCTTCACAATGCAGTCGTTTCTATGAATAAAAATCTTCGTGAGAAGATGGGTTGGCACTGAGTAACTCACAGCTACTCCCATGTTGTGCACTGAATATAAGGTGACAGAGAAGCGGGAAATGACATTTTACACATGGTTGAAGGAAAAAAACACTGGGGATAAGTGTGATGTGTTCATTTCCTCTGTTTGCCTGGAATAACCCAGCTCTCAAGGTAACTGATGATAACATTGTTTTCAAATGCTGCAGGTAGCCCTGGTGGAGAACCTTGTGGAAAGACTTGTTTGGGAGAAAGAGACAATCAGTGGTTGGGAGTCACGCTTTCCAGACAGCCAGGAGAAAATGGATCCATCGTGGTAGGTTATTGGGATTGGTCCACTGATCACATCATGAAACCAGATACTCTGGATGTGACTTTCACATCACTTGGTCTACTTTTATGTTTTATTCAGACTTGTGGGCATAGATGGAAAAATATATTTTATATAAAGAATGAAAATAAGCTCCCCACGGGTGTTTGTTATGGAATGCCTTCTGATTTACGGGCAGAACTGAGCAAAAGGATTGCTCCATGTTATCAAGGTAAGATGATATTTATATTAACTGGATCAAGAAAAACAAGTGAATGACTTAATTCTTTAAAAAATTATTCTCAATTTTAGATACATGGGGAGGGTATCTTTGAAATAGCCATGTTCTTTTCAACTACTCAAATCATTCTTTTTTACTCAGTTGCAATATTAGTTTTCATAAATATACTTTGTGCTTTTAGGAAATTTTATAGTTTAATTTGAATAATTTTAGAATCTAGTTAATAATTACCCACTTTTGCATTAAATACATTTTCAATTCAGTATAAGTGAGTCAAATGCTGAGCAAATATAGGACACTTAAAATCATGAAATTAGATTGAGAAGTCTGGTCAAAAAAAGGAAATTGCTTAGCTTTCTTGCTTTATTTACCTTTAGCTGCAGAGAATATTTGAAAGATTCAAGAACAATGGAATCAAATATTTTCCACTTACTATGTCTCTTTTTTTCAAATTCATATGCTTTTCTTAAAGCAGCAAAAGGTTGGTATCTTAAGTTTGAAAGGTTTTCCTATAAAAATTCTAGACCATGTGTAGGTAGCATTAATGCATGTAGAGCTAGGACATAAACAAAACAACTGAATTGGAAGGAGTTCAGGGTGAATGTCAACAGAACTCTAAAAATCATATTTGCAGCAAAACAAATTCTTAAAGCATATTTTTGGAAAACTCAGCATTAAATATATATACATTCCAGTTTCCAACTTTTCTAACCAAAATGATTACCCCAGTCTCTAAAGAAAATACATTATAGGACAAAAGTTTGATAACGTAAGTAAATTCAGTTACTGAATCCATTAATATTGGGGTATTTCTGCTCTGGCATTTGATGTCATGAAGAAGCTTATATGTATTCCTGATTTATCTTTGGATGTCAAGAAGATGCAAGGTGAATTTTAAATTCTTAATTGGGTAAAACTCAGTCTAGGTTTCTGCATATTTATTATCTTCTTCTTACTGGTTTATGCTTTGAAACATTTTCACAATAGAATTTTGATTTTGCTCAGATATGCCTAGCCACATTCTCTCAAATTTCATGATGGCATAAACATCAGGCACCTAAAATTATGGGGAAATTTATAAAAATAGAAAAAGATAGGACCAGGGAAGATATGAAAAGGAGGGAAAAATCATGACACAGTATAGTCCTTAGAAATGACTTAGCAATGTATTTAAATTTTCTCGTTGGCAAAACCAAAGAGCAAAGATGGTGTCCTGATTCTTATTTTCATAGAGGTTTACTTAGTCAGATTTTCAGGAGGAGCAAAGCTTTGTCTCCATAGCAAATTTCAAAAGCATCCATCCATTCGTGGGGGCTTTGTAATGAGAGACCCTCTATCTCCACACAGATATTGACTTAGTCTGTTACTTTCGGCTGTGCAAAATCTGGGAAGCCTATTTCTTTTTCTGTTGAATTTTTAAATGGGGGGAAACTATAAAAGAATGTTGGAATGAAATGTGTTAAACTTTAGATAATAAGTGGTTCCTGATTGGTGGTTGCATGTACTGAAAACAGTGAAATTAGACAGTAGACTTAATAGAATTTTAGATGTTGAAGACATTTTGGCAATTGAGCCAAATGCCCTCATTTTACAGAGGAGAAAACTCTGGCGCAGTGACATCATGCAATTTTCTCAGAATCTTTCAGCCCTCTGGTAGCAGAAGGGGCCCACACTTAAGTGTCTATTTGCAAATTAATATGGGCAGTAGTCACTATCTGTGAATGCTTTTTCTTCTCTTTTTCTATCATTGGTCAAGAACTGGTTGGTGGCGGAGCGAGGAGCCTCCATTACAACATTTTTTTCATTGGTGTCCTGGCCTAGTCACCTCCACCCCAGCATTCAGCCCTAGTGGCAAGAAAAGAGAGAGAGAGCTGGGGGGCAGTTAGATGGCTGTCTGGAGCCACATGCGCCAGAAGCCCCTGCTGGGAGCCAGAGCTGTGGTGTCTGCGGAGCATCCTCATCAGGCAGGCCTCACTGAAGAGCTTCTCAGGGATGCAGGGGGAGGTGCTGGCCCTGCTGATCCACCAGATTTGCCTCGGTGACCAGCAGCACCCTGGCAAGGATCGGAAGCCTATTTTGAATGGAAACTTGGACTCCTGTCTTAGACACTCATTTAAAAATTTTTTGAGTGTGTGCTACATATTCTTCCCACAAAAAAGAGGCAGGGATAAGTATCTTTATGCTCTTTCAAAGGGATAGTTTGAAGGTTACTTGGAAGACATTTGTGGTTTTAAATTTAATCAAAGTTATTATTTAAAAAATGAGGTAGTGTAAAATATAGACCTTAAATGGTCTATATTTGTTAGGATTTATAAGATAAAAATAGACAAAATCTGCATGATTTTCAATCCTGAAGTGTTCTTTTTCTACTTCATTTTAGATTTTGTGAAAAAGTTTGGAGAAAATTTTGCATCATGTCAAGCTGGAATATCTAGTTTTTACACAGAGGTAATAGTTCAAAAAGAGCTGCTATGAATGTTTACATATAGAATTTTAATTTTTCTGAAGACTTAGAAGACTGATGTTATTCTTTAGAGTAAAAGCTTTGCAACATGTGAATAATGTTTCTTAAATTAGGAAGTTCAGTATTGCAGCTTTATTTTTACCAGTCAGTATTTCACATATATTTTAAGAAAATATTAATATTAGATGGCTCTGCCCCACAAGATCAACTAAAAGTCTATACTACAGAATATTATTTCATGAAGGATTTAAAATAAATTAAAAGTAGCTGTAGTTATTTATTTTGTTAACTTATGCATTGAAAATATCTAAGTATGTTATTTTTACTTGTTGAGCGAGCAAGGAGACATATAAATTCACACTTTTCATTAAAACTGTGAGAATTTGGAAATTCAAGAACTTAACCTCTTAAATCAGATATATTCCCAAACACTAGTATTCCTTCTCCCTCTCTAGTAAGTAACACTGTGTCTCCCAGTGGAAGATCACAGTTGTACTTAACCTCCAAGTTCCCAGTCTCCCTTAAACATCAATTATGAATTTGTGAATGTTTTCTTCTGAATCTATGTAGAAAGTCCATATCAAGCCTTGGGTTAACAGTTTCTGTAACTATTACCTACTATGTAAAAAAAAACAGTAATGATTTCTTTAGTGTATTATTTAAATTGACCTTTTTTAAGTTCAGGATTTAAATTGACCTTTTTTTGAGTTCAGGATTGTTGAGGCAATTGAGAAATATATTAAATAGGTTTGAACGCTGAAAGTTTTCATATATTATTAGACAACTGTCTGCTCATTCCAGCCTTCCCTGTTTCCTTTTTCTAAATTCATATTTGTAATCAAATACACCCCAAATTTCATCGGTCTTTTTCTGAGCTAACATTGTTAAGGAAACTAGTTAACAACTTTTTGCAAATTGAAATAAATTAAGTCTACTTTTTACTCTTTGGCAAAACATGATTATCTCTGTAATGTGCACTAATGAATTACACAGATATGATTTACTTTAGTAGAAACCACATTGCCTTTCTCCTGAAAGCCTACTCTAGTGTTCAGTGGTTCTACCTTTGATTTCTGAGTCTACTGATGAGTGTGAAGTGAGAGATTCAGAGTTTCTTCTGTGATTCTACTTTTAGGTGAAAATTCATTAGCTAGCTTCTCTGGCTTTTTATTTCCCTGATGTGTGTTTAAATTCATAAAATACTCAGACTTCAGAAATTTATTACAAAAAATACATTCTTGTCACTGTTACTTAAAATGTATATCTGGAAGATGTTTGGGGTGGTGAGATTAAACTTTTAAGTGATGATAACTTGTTTATTTCTTACAGGATCTAATTGTGATGGGAGCTCCAGGATCATCTTACTGGACTGGCTCTATTTTTGTGTACAATATAACTACAAATACATATAAGGCTTATTTAGATGCAAACAATCAAGTAAAATTTGGAAGTTACTTAGGTACTGTAACAGTTTGACAAACTCAAATTTGACAAACTCAAACTATAATTTGACTCTTTCTTACAGGTACTAGTAATTATAAGTAAGTGAAATTGTATTTTCAAAAGATTAAAATGGCCAGTGGCCATTAAAAACAGTTTGTCTGTTTAAGAATACAATACTGAAGCTTTAGTTAACTGCATATTTTACGTATATAACTACAACCATCAATATCTAACTCTTAAACTAGAGCTGCTCGTTTACTGCAAAGCGTGTGCTCTCTGCAATAAAACACTCACAAGCTTGTATCTTTATGTAGTCCACTGATTATTACAAAGATAGCATTATTGAGTACTTGTCATATCCAAGGAACTTATGCAAGCACTCTACATGAATTATCTCATTTAATTATGTAACGGTGAGTATCATTCCTTAAAGAACTGACAAAGTCAGATGGTCCACAGCAGTCTACACAATGGGTAACATTGTGAGGCTTACAGGTCTAAAAACAGCTCATTGACCTTTGCCTCCTACGTTCTTAGAATATTTCCCAGAGCTTAACTATTTTTATCTTCTTATTCTTATTCTTGTTTAATAAGTGGGATACTCTATAGTCTGTGTTTCAGCAGAAACACAAGATTTTTCTTGCATTAATTCCCCTGTTATAGGAAAAGGAATGCTTTTCCTATAATTTTTTAGGAAGTACAAATTTGCTGAAACCATATGTACTTCAAATGTGAGCAGCCTATTCCCAGAAAAAAATTATAAGAAAAGTCAGTATTATTTTTCCATTGAAACAGAAGGAATTCATTTTCAAATGAAGGGAATTTATTTACCATCAACATTTACTTATGGTTGAAGGATATCTTCACATGTTACAAAATGTGACTCAATGTTAGGCCTTTCATCACAGAATAAAATAAAAATATTTTCCCAGTTCTATCATCATAATATGTTATCACAATAGGAAGATTTTATGGCAAAAAGTTATGATTTAGGAAACTTTTTACTTAAAGTTTAAAGTATCATATTTTATACACTCAAATATTTCCATTGTAATCCTAGAAGCTTGAATGTCCTGATACTGCTGAGACTAACAAACCCAATGTAAAGGTGCTATCTTCGATTTCCAGGACTTGAAAATAAAAAGCCATATGACTAGTTTCATAACACACATTAATAATTGCTTAAAGCATATAATGAATGACCACTTTTGTGTATTGCTATGCTGAATATTCTTAGAACTGTTCAGTGTAGTCGTTTTGTATTCAGTCCCATTTAACTCTGAGTGGCTGTATGATAATTCATGTATTTTACACATTGCAGTCTATTTCACTCACACTTGTTTCCCTTGTGTTGAAGGGTACTCGGTAGGAGCCGGTCATTTTCGGAGTAGGCACACTACCGAAGTAGTTGGAGGAGCTCCTCAACATGAACAGATTGGAAAAGTAAGAACTACAGTTTTATATTTATTTCTTTACAAGGGTTCAAATACATTGCATGACAGAAGGAGATATTCAAGGAGGAACTGCAAGAATCCAAAGAATGAAAGCTAGCTATGATGAGAAGTGTGCTACATTTAGTGGAGTTGCTAAAAGTTGTATGGCTTTTAGATAAACTTTATCAGAAAAGCTTTAAGGAAATTTACATAAGTCAAATGAAGCTTTTCTTTCTTATGAGTCAATTGTTTTGGAGAGAACTATCTTAAGATGTTGGGGGAGCATATTTATTGGTTAACAAGTTTACAGCTAAAGGGAAATCAAGGCAGGTGCATGTATGGTAAGAGGAGAAAGAATAAGATGTTATTTCTGGTTTGAGTTTTTGTTCCATTGTTGTGTAAATGTTACTCAGTTTTTCTGAGTCTTACTTTGAAAGTGAGGCTCACTGTGCTTTCTGTGCTCCCTCTTGGGCATCCACAAGGTAGGTCCCAGGAAGGTGGTTGTGCAGAGAAGGCATGCTAATCTGAATGTGGTTTCCTAAACTGGTGGTATCACTACGAAAAGCATTTTTAAAAAATACATTAAAGGAATTACGAGTCATGAAAATTAATGTTTTGACCAAATAAAGACTTTTTTAGTGGGATAGCAGTTGAACCTTTTCTAAATCTTTTTCTAATTGCAGGCATACATATTCAGCATTGATACAAAAGGACTAAGTATCTTATATGAAATGAAAGGTAAAAAGGTAATATGTCTCTACGTTTGTTATCACTGAGGGCCTTTGGAAATAACCCTACTATTGTTTCAACAACTGGATCTGGTTTGCTTTGGAGCAGCTTGGCTCTTATTTTGGCGCTTCTGTCTGTGCGGTGGACCTCAATGCAGATGGCTTCTCCGACCTTCTCGTGGGGGCTCCTATGCAGAGCATCATCAGAGAAGAAGGAAGAGTGTTTGTGTACATCAACTCCGGCTGGGTGAGTCTGGTGACCCCAGAACTGGGAGCCACCTATGGGATTATGTTTGGTACTTATTCCAGAGTTCTAAGACTATAGGTTTTTAGGCTTATTGAACTTATAAAGTAAAAATTCTGGTATTGTACTGATGCTCTAAAAATGAAGTGGAACATGGTGATAAATGGGAAGCTATCCAATTTTGATATTCCAGAAGTATGACATCAGTTGTTCTAGAGTTAGTTCACAGTTGTTACACGTTCCCTCCAACAAGTGAAGTTTCCTTCAGTTTTTATTATGACAGAAAGCTAATGTGAAAGAGTGATATTTATGTCCCACAAAATGTGGATTTCTTATTGCAGTGAATGTCCCTATATATAATTTAATAATTATAAAACATTACTACAAGCAGAAAATAAAATATGAAAATTTCAATTTCTTGATTTGACAATTGGAAACACGACATTTTTTAAAGAATTTATTTATGTAGTTAGAAAGAGAGGGAGGGAGGGAGAGAAACATCCATGTGTGAGAGAAACATCAGTCAGTTGCCCCTCACTTGAGCCCTAACCCAACCAGGGCCCTGGCTCACAACCCAGGCACTGTGCTCTGACTAGAGATTGAACCAGCCACCTTGCACTTTGTGGGACAATGCTCAACCAATTGAGCCATGCTGGTCAGGGCAAGACATGTTTTGATAAAATGTTAATTTGCTCAGTTAATATAGATTATACTCTTGATGAGAATATAAAATTGACATAATTTATTCCAAAGTGGGTATAATAGTTATAGAAGTACATAATTGCTGCTTATTGTTGAGTTTTTCATTATGGGGAATATTTTGGAGTAGAAACTGAATCCTTGACGGGTCAATTAAAAAGAGTTCTGCTGGCCTTGTCTTGCCAGTTTATCTTCTTGGCATTAAATCAAAGCAAAGAATTCATAAGGGCCTTAATGAGGTCTTTTTGGCCTGCCTTTGATTTAGAGCAAGAATTGGTTTGTGAGAACATTAGTTCATTTTTTAAGGCATTAAATTTTCAGTCAGAATTCAACAAAGTAAAATCTGTTTCACAAAGGTATTTGTAACCTTATTTAATCAATGGTCTTACAGTATTTAATAAATTTTTATATTAAGCACCAGACTAAACTTTTTAAGTTTTAGGAGAGGACATAGTCTTATGAAACTGAGAGATTCTGAAGGTTCCAGATGTAGAGCAGTTGGAATTCCAAAATACATTGGAATTTTCTAGATTGTGTCGCAGTCTAAACAGTAAAAGCATAGTGTCTACAAAGTGATCATATCACACTAACGTGATATCAGGTATTACTACTTTTTCTTGCAGAGATAATTTCATATTTCCCTACTCATAAGTGAGTAGGTATTATACTAGCTACATCCTCATTGTGCATACTTCTCTTCCCCTTCTCTTTCAATTACACTTTTTGAGAATAGTTTAAACAACAGCATATTTACCTAAACTAAGGCAATATAGGACCCTTTTCTCCCATTGAAATCTAAGCAATCCCAATATGAAAACAGATAAGAGTGGAGCTCCTTTGCTTGAAGGACCTGAGATGAGCCCTACGCACAGGTCTGCCCGTTTGTGCTTTCCTCACTCCTACCCTGAGGCACTACTTCCATAGTTCATTTCAGCTTTGGAAACCTGCTCTAGCATAGATTATTCCTTTGTTCCTTTTTAACTTCCTGTTTTATACCTCTCTAAAAAGGCACTAAGCACTGCTGCAAAGGCATTGTGGTATATACTTATTAGTTTGGCTTGCTAATATCTATTGGAATGTGGACGCTGTGGGGGAAAGGGATCAGCTGTCTCATTTACTGCTGTTTCCTCAGGGCCTGAAAGAGTCCTGGACAGGGTGCTCAGTAATTGTTTTTGAATGAGCTCAAGAAAGAATGGTACTTGAATGAATATGGCTTCCACCTACTTCTACTGAAGTAGATCTCAGGGGGCCCCCAGTGAATTCTCGGTCATCATCCTCGGTGACTGGAGAATGCTTAAAGAAGAGTGATTACTACTTTTGGAAACTCTCCCCTGAAACTTCAGTGCCATTGAGTTTCCTTAGTTCTGTACCTGCTCATTCTCATTGGAATCACTTCTGCCTTTTGCTCTTTAAATTAGGCATTTCTGTGGGATCAAAATAAGTAGAGGGGTTTTTCTATTGTTGTTGGAAAGTAAAAGGTGAAGGGCACTTGCTAAGGGGAAGAATGTATTTGTGTTTAAGGAGTGATGAGTAGCCTTATTTGAGAAGGGATAAAGGGTCAATGACGAGTAAGTAGCATGATTTTTTTTTCCCTACAAGGGAGTAACATGATCAAAGTGTAGAGGGTCTTGTAGCTGTTATTGCAACATTATTGACTGTCTTATTGTAACTCATCTTCTAACTTCAGAGATAGCAGTGGACCAATCTGTGTCCCATTACTGTTGGGAAAAGGTCCTGAAGGCCAGCTTCAGTAGCATCACTCCTCAACTCAGAAACCTTAAGTGGCTTCCTCGTGTCCTCTAAATTGAGAGTCAGTTCCCCACAGCATTCACTGTCCCACCCCACAAAGCTCCAATCTCACCTTTTTAGCCTCGTTTATTATACATACACTTCAGTGTAGCCACATCCTTTGGAATTCATGTTTTGCTCGTAATTTTCTCTGTATATCCAAATTATGCTCATCCTTCAGTACCACCTTGAATATCATTTATGAAATCTCTCCTAGCTCTCAAAATTATATGTGCTCTCCTTGTTTGTTCATATTGCAAAGCAGTCTGTACTTCTAAGTCATCCACATACTTGTGCTTAGCCCCTGCTGCAGCTCTGGGCTTCTTCAGGAAAGGAAGTGTGTTATATAAACACACTGCCTTGTCCCCTTTCACCAGTTCGTTCTTTGCACAGTGCAGTGCCTTCAGTAGGAACTCAATATTTGCTAAATTGAGTTATCAAAATGATTTATTGGATTTTCAAAGCTAGAGATCATGAGTTTGGCAATTTGTTATATCCTCTGAGCTCTAATCATACTATTATGTGTTGCATATACTTGATAAATATTTATTGAATTGAACTGAGATGTGTGTACTAAAGCTCAGTCTGTAGTTTGTCCAATTTGTTTAAAGCATTAGAAAAATCCATATCCAATTACAACAGTAAATCATGTGTAAAGTTGTCAGGGAGTGTTATAATGACACCTTTCTCCCCTTTTCTGTCTAGGGAGCAGCAATGAATGAAATGGAGACAGAGCTCATTGGAAGTGACAAATATGCTGCACGATTTGGGGAGTCTATAGTTAATCTTGGTGACATTGATAATGATGGCTTTGAAGGTAATTAAAAGTATCCAACTTGGTACTTGATTTCCACTCTTAAAATGGTACATGGAAGAGAATATGTTTGGAGTTTCATGTTGTTTGTCTTTCTGTATAAAATGGAGCCAGAATGCTATGTTGAGTTGTGTTGTTTTTTTTTTTTCAGTCTTACACCTGACTTCTCCTCAGTTGTTGGCTATGGCTTCTTACTGTTGTTAATAAAGGATGATATTCAACATACCTTATGTTGTTGATTCTAAGCCACCATTGGTTATGAGTGGCATTTTTGTGCCCGTAGAAATACTATAAAGTTGTGACCCACCATTTTTTCTATTTTGAAAAGGATTTTGATTTCAGAAATGTTAAAATGGGAAAAATGTATATCATAGACTCATTGGACCATTTTAACTATCAGTACAGAAAAGACACTGACAGAACCCACTGGAGGCTGGCTGCAGAGCTGGAGCAAGGTTGTGGAGGCTCCTTGCTATGCCAGAAATTCCTTGTTCCTTTTAAGATGCATTCAAATTTAAGTTGCTGTCAACTTAAAATAAACTATATATATAGTTTATATATGTGTGTGTATATATACAAATATATAAGTGTATGTATATATGTATATATAAACTATATACATATATACACAAACTGTATACATATATATATATGTATACATACATATGAGATATATATGAGACTCATCATAATGGTAAAGTAAAAACTGATGGTAGATACACAAAAAGATAATGAGAAAGGAATATAAACATAACACTAAAGAATGTCAACAAGCCACAGGAGAAGAAAGCAAGAAAAGAGGAAAAGCAAGTTTTGTGGATGGTGCATTGTGGGAGGATTTGAGGGATCCCAGGATTGAATCCAGAGCAGTGGTGAGGATGCAACTGGCAGGCTGAGGGATAGTGGCTATTTAGAAACTGATATAGAATGACTTCAGTGATGGAATAGATGGTACCACCATAACTGCCTGTTGTCTGGGGATCAGCCCTGCTGTTGAAATGCTTGTCTCCACCAGCCTTCCCTCTTAAAATTTGCTGTTTTCAGTCTAGCACTGAGTGATAACCAAGGCTGTTAAAATTGGGCATAAAATGATGAATGGGTTTTAGAGAGTGTGTGATCCCTAGAGTTTAGCAAATAAGTATTTGATCCTTATTTTCAGAGCTAGAATTTTGTCTGTCTCTTGCCATGGTGATTGACAATTGGTATGTGGTAATATGAGGTCAACTCTTACATGTATACTGGAAATTCGTAGATTGAGTACTGTAAGTTCTCATTTCCTTAATTTCTTCTTATGCCTAAGTGCTTCATTCTGCTTTAAATGTCTAAAATGTTACTCTACAAGGAGAAAGTTGGTGGGTTGTTGAACATATGCTTTCAGTGAACCCTAGTAAGTGGAAGAGAGTGTGATTTGGTATACAAACATTACAATTTCTGGAATTTTCTTACTCTGTTAAAAATGAAAGGAGCTAAGTATATGTAGATATTTTATGGTTATGATTACATAAATAACATTTTACATAAAACTTTTTAATAAAATATTTTGATAGATGTTTTGAGTTAATTTTTGTGTATGGTGTAAGATAGTGGTCTAGTTTCATTCTTTTGCATGAAGCTGTCCAGTTTACCTATTGCCATTTATTACTGGTTCTCCCCATTGTATATTCTTAAATCAATTAACCATATATATGTGGGTTTATTTTTGGAATCGCTTCTGTTCCTGTGGTCTATGTGTTTGCTTTTATGCAAGTATCATACTGTTTGGATTACTATACTTTTTCATACTGTTTGAAATCAGGGAGCATGATGCCTCTGGCTTTGTTTTTCTTAAGATTGTGGCTTTGTCTTTCTTAAGATTGCTTTGGCTATTTAGGGTATTTTGTGCTTCAATACAAATTTCAGAATTTTAAAACAATTCTATGAAAAATCACCACTGGAATTTTGCTAGGGATTGCAATGAACCTGTAGATTGCTTTCAGTAGTATGGACATTTTAACAACATTAATTCTTCTAATTCATGACCATGAACTACCTTTCCATTTATTTTTGTCATTTTTTAAACCAATGTCTTAAAGTTTTCAATGTATAGGTCTTTCATCTCTTTGGTTAAATTTATTCCTATATATTTTACTTATTTTTTTAAATGCAATTGTAAATGGGATTGTTTTCTTAACCTCTACTTCTAATAATTTGTTAGTGTATAGAAAAAAACAACAGATTTTTGTGCACTGATTTTGTACCCTGCAACTTTACTGAATTTATTAGTTCTCACAGTGTTTTGGTGGAGTTTTTAGGGTTTTTTTAATGTATATATAAAATCATATAATTAGCAAATAGTGATAGTTTTACTTCTTGTCAATTTGGATGCCTTTAAAAAAATATGTTTTAATTATTTACTTTTTTTAGAGAGGGGGAAGGGAGGGAGAAAAAGAGGGAGAGAAACATCAGTAGTGAGAGATACATTGGTCAGTTTCCTCTCACACGCCCCCAACTGGGACCTGGCCTGCAACCCAGGCATGTGCCCCAACTGGGAATCTAACCTGGGACCTTTCAGTTTGTGGGCCTGAGCTCAGTCTACTGAGCCACACCAACCAGGCCAGATATGGTTTTTTTTCTCTTACTTGCCTTATTGCTCTGGCTAGGACTTTAGTACTCTGTGAAATAAAAGTGGCAAAAGTGGACATTCTTGAATTGTTCCTGATATTAGATGAAAAGGTTTCAGCTATTCACCACTGACTGTGATGTAGCTATGGGCTTGTCATATATGCTGGGGAATGTTCCCTGTAGACCCACAGTGTTGCACATTTTAATCACAAATCTATATTGAACTTTGTCAAATGCTTTTTTGTTTTTGCATCTATTGAGATGATCATATGATTTTTACCCTTGGTTTTGTTAGTTTAGTATATCCTGTTGATTGACTTGTGTATGTTAAACCATTCTTTCACCCCTGGCATAAATCCTACTTGGTCAGAATGTGTGATTCTCTCAAAGTACATTTGAATTTGATTTGCTAATATTGTATAGAAGATGTTTGTATCTATGTACATCAGGGATATTGGCCTGTAATCTGTGTGTGTGTGTGTGTGTGTGTGTGTGTGTGTGTGTGTGGTATTCTTGTCTGATTTTGGTACCAGGATACTTCTCAAGTTTTTTGAAAGAGTTGAGAAGGATAAATATTAAATATTAAATATTGTTTAATGTTTGGTTGAGTCTACCAGTGAAGGTATCTGGTTCTAGCCTTCAGTTTCTTGGGAGGTTTTCAATTACCAATACAGTCTCCTTACTAGTAATCAGTCTATTCAGATTTACTATTATTTCATGTTCAGTTTTGGATGATTGTATGTTTCTGGAATTTATCCATTTTGTTTAAGCTATCCAACATGTTGGCATGTAATTGTTTATAGTGATCTCTTATGATCCTTTTTATTTCTTTTGTTGACCCCATGGGTTGTTCAGTAGCAGGTTATTTACTTTATATATATATGATTTCTTTTCAGTTTTATTTTTTTAACTGATTTCTAGTTTCATACCATTGTAGTTGGAAAAGATGTTGGATATGATTTCAGTCTTAAATTTATTAAGACTTCCTTTGTGGCTTAACTTATCTCTTCTGGAGAATATTTCATCTGTACTTGACAAGAATCTGTATTCTGCTGTTCTTGGATGGAATGTTCTATATATATCTAGTAAGCCTATCTGGTCTAATGTGTTATTTAAAACCCATGTTTCTTATGGATTTTCTGTCTGGTAATCCTTGGTGTAAGTGGGGTATTATAGTTTCCTACAATTGTATGCTGTCAATTTCTCCCGTTAGGTCTGTTAATATTTGCTGTATGTATTTAGGTGCTCTTATGTTTGCTGCATAAATATTTACAAATATTATCTCTTCTTGTTGGATTTACCCTTTTATCATTATGTAATTCCATTCTCTGTGTTTTATTACAGCCTTTGTTTTAAAGTCTATTTTCTCTGACATAAATATAGCTACTTCAGCTTTCTTTTGGTTTCCATTTACATGGCCTATGTTTTTCCATTCCTTCCCTTTCAGTCTGTGTGTGTTCTTGCATCTGCAGGGAGTCTCCTTGTAGGCAGCATATAGATAGATCTTTATTTTTTTAAATACACTGAGCCACTCTTTTGATTGGAGAAGTTAGTCCATTTACATTTTAAGCATTTATTGATAATTACATACGCACTGCCTTTTTGTTATTTTGTAGTTTCTCTCTGTTCCTTTCCTCTTTTCTTGCTTTCTTCCCCTGTGGTTTGATGACTTTTAGTATTATGTTTATATTCTTTCCTCATCTTTTTGTGTATCTACCATCAGTTTTTGCTTTGCCATTATGATGAGTCTCATATATAACATCATCTATGTATATATGTACCTATGCACACATATATATAGATATAGTTTAGTTTGAGTTGATAGTAATCAACTTAAATTCGAATGCATTTTAAAACTACATTTTTACTCTTCTTCCCATGTCTTACATTTTTGTTATAACAGTTTACATTATTTTGTTTATTTCTTAACTCATTATTTTAGTTATTTTTATTACTTAAATGTTATTTAACTTTTACACTATCTTTATGTTATTAATCTGCTACCTTTACTATATATTTACTTGTACCTATGAAATTTATTCTTTCATATGTTTTCTTGTTACTAATTAGTTCTCTTTCTTTTTGGTTTAAGTCCCTTTAATATATTTTTTAAGGGGAATTTAGTTAGTGACAAACTCTTTTAGCTATTGCTTGTCTGGAAAACTCTTTTTCTCTTTCAATTTGGAACAATAACTTTGCTGGGTAGAGTATTCTTGGAAGATTTTTTTTCTTTTTAGCACTTAATCATGCCACTCCCTTCTGCCTTGCAAAATTTCTACTGAAAAATCTGATAGCCTTATGGGATTTTTCTTATACATAAGTTTTTTTTTCTCTTGCAGCTTTAGGTGTCCCTCATTTTCTTTAGTTTTTGACATTTTAATGACAACAGTTCCTTAAGAATG